TGTGGGGTATTTTGTGCTAAAACTTCACACACACACTGGGGACATCGGATATATTTTACATCTTGTGAAAATGGCATTTTACCACCCCTTTAAATTTTGGGATGAACTAACTAACTAAGTTTTGGAATAGTCATTCAGACAATTAGAACTGTGATTGATTGCATTGATCAAATGAAGCATGTACGAGCTGGAGCGGAACTCCTCAAAGTCAAACACAAACGTTATCTAAATCACATTTAGTTTTACTAGTATGATTATTCAAAGCAATTTAGATTGTTTATTATTATCGCACAAGTGCACTAATAGCGGGAGAGGGGGGTCAAAGCGAACACCGGCAGAGGCTGTGCCTGTGGCGTGTCTTTTTAAGTTATCCAGTGAATGCCTGCATTGAAAGCGTGAGTGTTCTTCGAAGAGAAAAAAAAAAGTTTATGGAGTTTTTAGTGACAGTAGCCACTAAAAACTACATTAAGGCTGTTTTTTTTAGAATTTTTGACATGGCCTGACATGCACTTTTTTCAGTTGCTTATAAAAAGATTAATCGCTAGAGTCTCCATTACACTGTATTCACAAACTGGGCTACAGTAATATGTGATCAACATGTTCTTGTTTGAGTGTGGCTCTTAGATACAGAGAGTTAGAGAGAGAGAGAGAGGATTGAAGTGTCCCGCTGGTGTGAGGAAAGTGATCCCGGTCTTAGAGCTCAAACAGATAAGTGGATCATATTCACTCTCAGTGTGTGGTTTAGCGGCATCTGAACACTTCGGCTTGTAATGTCAGTCTTGGCTGTGACGGTGCTTCCAGTTTCCAGAATGCTCTCCTGTGATATGCAAAAGACCGAATAAAACCATGCCACCATTTTGCTAAATATATACCTAGAATGGACCATTCATGCAGTCACTTTGGATAAAAGAACCCGCCAAATGAACAAACGTAAATGGGCTAAGGACTTGACTGAATTGTGTACAACTCACAGTTCAGCCTTATAATGAATCATTTACTTCGTTTCAGTGACTTCATGAATCTGTGATAATCTGTGAAAGTGGTCTTATGCCATTTTAAAGACTAACCTCATTGAAAAGGCAGAGGTACATTTTGTCCTTGTGTCCTTGATTTGTATATCTTAAGAGCTTAATGTAGCGCGCTTTGTCTGAAGTAGACAAGTAATTCACCACAGGTTCACCCCATCTCTCTAGACGTAAAGGTCTGCACTATTTTCTCAAGCTGCCTCTAGTGTGTCTTTGTTGCGGCAGGCTTGTTTTTATTTCCCCCTTCTCCCAACCTTGAAAGCCGCTCCTTCTCGGTTAATTAAGGCGAACCACAACACCGTCATCATAATGACTGAATTGTGTACAACATTATCCTTCGCCCCAAAAGGGGCCTTTGTTTCCACCGCAAGTGTGCATTCTCTCACCGCAGAAGTGGAGGAGGAGAGGGAGAGATAGAGACAGAGAAAACAAGTAAACCTCGACTATCCTAACTCAATAATGACTTCCCACAGGGAGAAAACGAATATGGCAAATGTTTGAAGCGCCTCCGCCACTGCTACAGGATTTCCACCAACCACATTACTCCAGGAAGTGCTTAATAGTTTTATGGACCGTCTTTCTTCATCTGAGAGCACATGGGGCTTGGTGCTTTTCAGAGAATTTTCTTTGTCCAGGGTCAGAAATTAACAAGGGGTTGGGCCAAAAAAGCCCTGAAAAAGTTATTTTTCTTTTTTATATCTGTTATCTAATATATATATATAATATTATAGTTATGAGCCACTAGTGACTTGTAGACATGGATAAAATGTTCCCATTAACTACAATCTGAGACTGGAGGATTATTTAAAATGTATTCCAGCAGAGCATTTGTGTTTTGGGATAGCCTATTATTTATAGAAATGTTGATTTACCTTTATGAACAGCCATAATTGTTTATTTACTAATTTTGGTTTTGGAAGAATTCCCTCATAAAGATTTAAAAAAAAATCTACTGAAAATCATTAGCAAGGGACAAATAATAACGTTAATTTCAGACACTGGAACCTTTTTCATTCATTTTTTAATTTTTTGAAGCTGGTCAGATGATTTCTGGTCTTTAATGGCAACCTTTTTTTATGCTGAAAAAAGTACAAATTGTAAGCGGATGATGTTAGCATAGTAAGCATAATCACATTGACCCGTTATGTGTGGTCATTTGATGGACATTTCATGTGTGGTTTTCTCAAAAAAGTGTTAACACATACAAGGCCTGTTTGTGTGTTTTGTCATTCACCTTGTAAAGCCACTGAAAAGTGTTCAAACCAGTTTTGCCTCTCCGTCTAACCATGACTTCTCCTTGACATATCACAGTCTGCCTCTTTATCTCAGATAAACGCCTTCTGAAGGCGCCAAGCATACTTGTGACTAAAGCGCTGTGTATACTCAAGATCCTCCTGAGACCGTAGCGCTGCTCTCCTGCTAGGAATCCCTGTCCGCTGGCGGCCCGGCACATCATTAGGCTTGTGCGGTGATAACAAGGCGTCTTGGTTCTCAGCGGCGTGTTAATTGAAGCACAGAGTTCAGCGACCCACGTCAATAGAGACAGGTCGGCTCAGACTCGCACGCTTTATCCTTTTTTTGAATGACCACGACCTCAAACCCCAGCTCCCCCGCCCGCTAATCACCATGGTGAAGAAGGATTTGAGCGGCTTGCGAGTCTGAATAGTAGCCACTTGAGTTTTGGCAGCACCCGATCGCATTTGCTACATGAATAATGTATGCCTCAAGGCCCCTTTTAGGACTGGGATCTTTGCATTGAGTGTATTGTAGCAATATATATATATATTTTTCTTCTCAGGGAAGCTTTGTCAGGTTGCTTTGCATATTGCTTCTCCTCAGGGGAACTTTGTGGCGGAATGCGATATTAGTGAAACTCTGATTGATGTAATTATTTTGGTGTCCAGACGTTTTAATATTGCGTGCTTTACATATTCACAAAATGACAAAATATCAAATGGTTGTAGTATTATACATTTGAACACCCCAAAAAATGTTGCATCATCTAATGAAATTTTACGAGCCATGGGCATTCCCTAATTTTCAGATTATCTCTACAACCCTTGTTAAATTGTCGGGCCAAGTACATGCATGCTTTGTTTTTTTCTAGTTAGTGTTGGTCATAGTTTAAAACGGACACTTCAAACACGTTTCTATAGAGTACTCTAGTCTAGCTGATAAATGTGTACTGAAGAGTTCTTCCTACAGTAGCCATGGAGACATCTCTATTGTGAACTGAATACTAAAATATCCTCTGCCAAACCCAATTTTTTGGTTCACAACAAACATGTTGCCTGTAAAATAATTATTTAAGGATTAGTTTAATTTAAATTCTGTCATCATTTACTTGTATGGTTTTCTTTATTTAATGGAATGCAAAGGTTTCACTACCATTCAAAAAAGTGGGGTCAGTACGATTTTGTTTTAACTAATAGCCTACTTTTTTTTTTAGCAAAGATGCATTCAATTGGTCAAAAGTTACAGTGCATCACTGTTTCCACAAAAATATTAAGCAGCACAGCTGTTTTCAAGATCGATAACAAGAAATGTTTCTTGATCACCAAAATTTCTCAATCATGTTATTAACACAATTATGCTTAAGCCGACAATGCACATGATCATGTAAATGTTTTTTGTTTTTTTTTGGCTCAATGAAGTGAGCTTGTGTGATATGTGACAGGAATGGGATTTAAACGCATCAAGACAGAGCTAGGGTTTGACGGGAAGGGAGGAGAAAATGGATTTCGAAATCACTCATTCTTGATCACACTCTTTTCTTAATCTCATGCAGGAGAAGTGGAGGTACAGTCAAAATGCTGTATCTGTTACTGCATGAGAGGATTTTAAGAGCCTTAAGTTTCCCGCTGACGGGTTTCAATACTCTTCTTTAGTTTTTAATGCTTTATTTTACATCACAATCAACAGTAAAATAAATCTGAGTCATAGTAAACTCTGAGTCATATATGCAAATGATTATGCTTTGATGTCACTACCGGGAAATAACCGGATTTATTAATAAAGTCTTGTAAACGTGGTTTACTTGTGCTGCCTGACAGGTTATTGGTTTGCATGTAAATATGGACAACAGGTTATTTCTGATTTATTTGAGTTATCAGCGTACTGATGTGCATGTAAATTCAGCTTTGCTATCACAGGAATAAATTATATTATAAAATATTTTTAAATTGCTTTCTAAATTGCATTAGTATTTCACAATATGCAGCCTTTGTGAAAATAAGAGATTTCTTGCAAAAACGTATTGCTCTTATAATTTATTAATCTCATTTTGTGGTCCATGGAAAAATAATCATGGTACATTTGAGTATACATCTTTCAATAGATTTTGTCATAAATTGACTGTGAGCTCCTTGGTGGAATAACAATCCCTTATTAGATGCAAAAATCCAGTCACAAATATATCTTTTTTAAGGCTGTCAAACGATTAATCGCGATTAATCGTGATTAACTGCTTCCAAAATAAAAGTTTGTGTTTAGATAATATATGGGTGCACTGTGTATAATTATTTATGTATATATATATATATAAATACACACACATGCTTGTATATATTTAAGAAATATTTTCATGTATATACTGTATATAGATTTTTATACAATTTATATTATATATAAAAATAACATTTTATATATAAATATTATTATTTTCTTAAATATACATGCATGTGTGTATATATATATATATATATATATACACAGTGCACCCAAATATGTAAACACAAACTTTTATTTTGGATGCGAATAATCGCGATTAATCATTTGGCAGCTCTAATCTTTTCTTAATAAGCTAAACTTTGTAATATTAATTAACTACATGTACTTACTATAGGGTTTGGTTTATGGTTAGTTGCAAGTAATTATACATAATGTAGGGTTATTACTATAGTATCTATATGTAATGTATATAACAAAGACACTTTAAAATAAAGAGTTAAACATTGTTTCTTTTTTCTTTACCAGATCCAAGCATGTGCTCGCACTAGCCGAAACCCTGCGGAATGCCAAACTGCACAAAAACGATCTAGAACTAGAGCTGGAGATACTTGAACAAGCTGCTGAACTTGCGTTGAAGGATGAAGAGGATGAAGAGGACTCCAGCAGTGGCAGTGACTCTGAGGAAGAAGAGAGCGAAGAAGAGCAACCTGAAGAAAAGACCCAAAATGACCGAGCGGAACTCCGACCTCTTGAACCTGAGGTCATCTGTTGTGAAGTTGTGAAGGAAGAAGCGCTGACTGAAGCTTCCCCCCTCCGTGTTGAGTCCAGACGGATGATTGAAGAGCTGGGAGAGAGCCTGGAGGCGGGGCTGACGATTGAGGAGGATGTGCCTCGGGGAAGACGCTCTATTAGCGGCAGTAACACCGAGCGAGAGGGAGAGCGAAAGAGAGAGGCAGACTATTACCATCGGTGTGCAGCTGAGACGGAAAGAGACGCCGCGAAAGCAGCAACCAGCAGAGAGCTACTTGATCCGTGCCTTCAGAGGAATCCACTGCGCATCATAAGCACTGATGAATTGGACAGTGACGATGATGGAGATCTACTTCTTACACTGGTAAAAGAAGGACCATAGTGGAAACATTCCTTGGATACTACGATTCCTTCCCACTAAGAGTAACGGATGTATCCTTAAGTCTATCTAAGAGCTTCTGCTTTTTCATGGATTTATATTGTGAAAAATGATGGTTTAATTTGTGGCAGTGTCGCTGCTTTTGAAAATAAGACTCCCCCCCCAGTGTACATTTATGTAATTCAGTTCAGTTCAGTTTATTGCAAAATATAGCAATAAAAAAGTTTGACTTCTATTTTATTGTATACACTGCTTTTTACATCATGCTAAGTGTGTGTATATCTGTGTAAATGTGTAAAAAGCATATAAAGATACCTTAAGCATATTCATGCTATTTAAAGGCTTACTCAACAATAGTGTCTTCTTCAAAGAAATACGTGTTCAAGGCAAACGTCTGCATTCCTGTGGCACTTCAGAGAGATTTCTAGGGTCGTTGATTACACAAACTGATCTTTTGCAGTCTGTGATGCTGCTGTTATTTACAAGCATCCTGTTTGCGGTGAGGCGCCATCCAGAGCGTGTTAGTCCTCCCTTCTGATGAATGTGAGATTAGCATGTTGCACGTTGTCATTTCCTTGGATGTCGAGGAGTAGGTGGTGGTCGTTTGACGATAGCATACGGTGGGGGTGGGGGTATATCGACAGGAAATCTTGAGAAAGTTTCTGTTACCATCCAGCTACCAAGATACCTAAAGACATGTATTGTTTGGTGCCATTTTGTTTTTTTGCTGTGCTGATTTATTGTTTTGCTCTTTTTCTCAATTGCTATGTGAAGTTCTCAAAGCTTATTTTGTGATGTGTAAAGTTGTTTTTCTTTAGGTTTTCTATCTGTTATAGAAATCCGATTTTTATCAGATCTGTTCCACTTGTATTGGTTTTGAGAGCAGTTGATTGAATTGATTGATCGGTCCTGAATAGAGGAGTCAGGTGAAAACAGATCAATCGGAGAGGCGAGATAAACGGGGAAGCACTTGTCAGGCGGATAGATGGAGGATTGTGTAATGTGCAAGTGGAAATTGAGGAGATGAGGTGGAAAGATTCTGCCTCTGTCATTTCAGAAAGCAGACAGTTTAACCGACTGCAACACATCTCACTTTAACAGACGTTTTATCTACTGAAGAGCTTTAAAATAAATCAAGCGACAACCAACACATTTCCATCTCGGCAAAATCTCGTATGTTTTGGCATGTTGGTAGCTAATTCGTATGAATTCTTAATGTTATTTGCACGTTTTCGTACTGTTTTTCGAATAGTACGAAACTTTCATGACTTTCATGCTTACCTTTTTTCTATCAAAAAATTCTACTAATTGAAATGAAATCGCCACCTCGAGAAACGATTACATTTTGCTGTGAAATTCGGTTGCAACAGCTTTGAAGGAGGTAACAAGTTTAGATTAAACATGCAAAGCCATAAAGTAAAGAGTCTTTATTAAATCCTCCCCATACAGTTAAAGTAGTTCACTTTAAAAAAACAAACAAACATATAATGCACTTCACTGGTAACCAAACAGTTCAAGGTCCAAAAGAGAGTTTCAGTGCAAACTGTTCAAAGGGCTTTAAACTATTCTACAGTAGATTATGAATAAGGGTCTTATAAAGTGAAACCATCGCTCATCACTTTAAAAAAAAAAAAAATAAAGTTTATGTTTTATAAGCTCAAATGCTCGCCTTGCTCTGTACTGCGATGCACGTTCGTGACTCCTGTTTGAACTCGTTCATCAAAATGAACAAATCTTTTTCCCCGAGTCATTTGGTTTATTCGACGAATTGACAAGATTTGTTCATTTTGATGAACGAGTTCGAACAGGAGAGTCACAAACGTGCGTCACAGAACTGAGCAAGGCGAGCAGTTGAGCTTATAAAACTTAAACTTTGTTATTTATTTATTAAATGAGTGATCGTTTCGCTTGATGAGACCCTTATTCATCGTCTGGAATCGTTTAAAGCCCTTTGAAGCTGCACTGAAACTCTCATTTGGACCTTGAACCGTTTGGTTCCCATTGAAGTCCATTATATGGAGAAAAATCCTGGAATGTTTTCATCAAAAACCTTAATTTCTTTTCAACTGAAGAAAGAAAGACATGGACATCTTGGATGACATGCATGGGGGTGAGTAAACGATCAGCAAAAGTTTTTTTGAAACGTGGACTATTCCTTGAATTTCAAGCAGCATGCTAGATTTAACACTGGGATATGTCAAGATGCTCTTAAACTTGAACTTGACCTTCTTGACCCTTTTTTTCTGCTCTTACGAGGCCATTTGTTTTACATAAAGGTAGCAGATCCACACAATCACATTCAGTGCTTTATTCTGGTATGTAACTCACTTTTCATGCTATAATTTGATGAATAAAATCAAGTCCCATCCTAAAATGTTTCCCTTCTATCAAGATTCTGCTGAGAAATATGTCGCAGTATGGGATATAAATAATCTACAAATGGCATTTCACGTTTACTTTGTCATTGCCAGTTTGGTAGCTGTTAAAGTGAGGAGCAGCTTGGACGAAATGCTCTTTTAGGCAGTGTGTTTCTGTTGGCTGTCTACCCATAGAGTCTGTCTGGTACCTTGGAGACTGACGCTGTCTCTGTCTGTAACTAGAGCTCTTTATTTCTGTCCGTCTCACCGTCGCTCAGTCTCTTCGCAGTTCTCCGTTTTTTGCTCTCTCTTTTTCTGTCGCACTGTGTTGAGGATGGATGATGTCGTTAAAGTAGCTCCCTCCGAGAATGGCCGACCGAGCTCTCCAGCAGCACCTTGGGAGCCTAATCATTTGTCCGACCTCTATCAAACCCTCCTCCTTCATGCCTGCGTCTTTTATTCTCACTTCATTGCTCAGTAGCTTGTGGGAGCCCACAGGCTGTAGCCGCCTCTCCCCTGTGGGGTCCACCATTGATTAAGTGACACTCTGTTGAATCGTCGTTTTTCATGGTAAAGAGGTGCCTATATTTCCCATTATGATGCCCACCCCTGGGAGCCAGGCTGGTGCTCCACAACGTATGCTAGCTTGAGCATTTTCAAGCCAAGTTTTTAATAGGTTTCACCTGCAGCTAAGGGGACATTTTGTGCCTTTTTAAATGTATTCAGCTGACAAAATTGGATGAATGCCGTCGTGTTTCAAGAGGCTTTTCCCCCTCCATTCTTTGCATTGTGCGGTAATTACGAGCAGCTCTGACACTCTGCTGTGAGCTCCTCATTATAGTCCAGATATGTCCCATCTTTTAACTGTTGTTTGCATGTATTGTCAGTTGGAAGCTCATAACAGTGAGTGACCAAATTAGTTTTGCTGATATTCTGCTGCTCAAATCAAATTGTAACAGCTCGTAAATGCACAAACAAGGTACTAATGTTTCCAGTTGTCACTTTCTCATTAAAGGTGTCATTTTGACACTTATAATACCAATTGGTGAGCGCAATAATGATTAAATATGAAAGTGGTGTGATTTATTTTCCCTAGCCAGTTGGCTGCATGCAGCCAATTCTAAAGATATAATTGATTATAATCATTTACTGAACTGATTGCATAAAGTTTGAACTTTCAGCACGAGCCCCCTAAAGTCCTAAGGACGACACTTTGTTTCCCTATTCTCTTACAATTAGAATAATTATTACAACTAAGCAAGTTAGTGTGGATGCTAATATAATTATAGTGGTCAATCTTGGTGTGAAAGATTACTGGTGTGAAGTCTTTATGAAACTTTTGTTTCTAGATGGGGATGGAAATATGGTCTTTTCGGATTTTGATCATTGTCATTAAGGTATGAACATTCATTAAAAAAGAACTGACTTATGACTGGTTCAGATTACACCATTTTTTTTTTGTTACGATAGTCACTGTTTCAGATTATGCGATTTTGACTCCTAAAATCTTGTGTCGTGGACAAAACGCATGTCAGACTACACGTTGCTTCCTGACCAGTCATCGTGCGCCGTTATGTCATCGAGAAGGCGAAACTAGTAGCGAGTGACTTCCGCAAACGAACGTAAACAAACAATGGATGAAGCAATAAGTGTTGTATTGGCTGTCCTGTGTTAGAAAACCCAACAATGGACACGTTCCTGGATTGCTCGAAGAGGACCGTATGGGCTGTCAATCCTCCAAAGAGAACTTGAGGTAATTATATATTTTTACTTTTAGTTTTAACGTTAGCACCATTGTCTCTTTCGTTTCGCCATTTTTGAAAGTTGTGTACGGAAAAACTTCTGTTCTCCTATTGGTCAACTTCATACATGTGACGGAAGCGTCGTATACGACCGTTAAAAAAATTGAACATGCTCGTGATGTGAAGCATCGCAGACGCAAACATAGGTTGTCGCCCACTATGACACACTATACGAGATGATATGATCGAATCTTGCGTCCCGACGCCCGTTGTCGTTTACGAATCCCCACGACACCCTACGTCAAATGGATCGTGCCAAAATCAGGCTAAAATCGTGTAATCTGAACCAGGCATTAGAGTCATTGGTTCGGACCAAGATTCTCACGCTGTATGTTCTTTACTCATTTGAGTCACCCCTTCAGGAATCGGACTGAACTGCTCGTGCTGTATGTTTTTGATTCCCTATAAAGAACCAATTCAAATGTCACCTCGTTTGGGAGGTGAACTGAACTGAAACCATTCATAAAGGTAATTAATTGGGCAATCTGGCTACTCTGATCACACCACCTAGCCTGGAAATCTAGACGCACCCTAGCGGCAGCAAAAATTATTTTGCAACCAGTGTGGTCTAGCAACTCTCCGTTGGCTTTCGAAGTGGAAAAAAACCCTGGTCTGGCCAATCACATTGTGTATAGATTTGGTGGGCGGGCTTGACACAATGACGGCAGAGTTGTGACGGTTCTGCGCCGTGATTGCCCTGCTACGTGAAAACAAACAAGATGCTGCTGGCGAACAGCAGTCTTTCGTTTCGGCTTTGGCCGCGACTCTGGATAACTTGGAGTTAAGAGAATGGACGTGTTTGGAGTTTTGACGAACGGATACGGCAAAAGTTTAATATATCAATAGCTTTGCTGGTGGGAAAATGCATGGGACTCACTCAGCCACAGGCATTTGTTGCTCTTGTTGGTTAGCGCTATCCTATGGCGTGCAGACGGATACTGAAAGACAACCTCGGATTAAGGTATCCCAATTGTGAGTTTCCAGACCTAACATCTTGATGGTAGGTCTGGCTTGCCAGGCTACACACCACCTCTTTTAAGCTGTAGATTCTGAGGCAGTTTTGATCTCTGAATATT